TCTGAAAGCACATGAAAGAATACACACTGGCGAGAAGCCATTTCAGTGCAAGCATTGTGATAAGGCGTTTCGCTCGGCACGATATGTGAAGGAACATGAACGAATACACACGGGTGAAAAACCTTTAAAGTGCAAGCAGTGTAACAAGGCCTTTCGTTGGAGCACATCTCTTAAAGCACACGAAGAAAGTCACCGTTGTTGGATTTGTCTTAGGCTGATTAAGACCGAGCCGCTGCTTCGTCAACATTATGATGACCATATGAGGTTACTGGACCTAACGTCGTAAATGTAATCAACGTATTCAATATTTGAGACTTAACTTTGTATAATGATATTTATAAATATTTTCTTGTAAATTTAAGCTAATTAACAAAAGGTTAAATTAATTTGGATCTGGGTAATTTTCCTGGTTGCTTAAAAGAATTTTCCTAATTGTTTTAAGTGTTAATGTTCTTCTCAGTTGATAGCATGTTAGAACTGACTCTCAACAGTAAAGAGGGGGTATCAAAAACGTAGTTGCTTTGTTTCAACTAACGCGAAAATTTATAAGTAAAGTGTTATTAGAAGGCTATTGTTCAAGGCTTGTAGAAAGTGGAGTGTGAAAAAAGGTTCCACACAAAACACTATCTGAGTTTTGTTAAAAGTGGGAAGTTTTTTCAAGCAGGAGTCGAACCAGGATTTCTTTTAAGAAAAGTTCAAAAGTTATGCTTTTTGTAGCGAATCATTTGCACCGTTTACCGCCACTACAAGTTAATTTCTGGTAAGCGCGCGACCCTTGTATGGTCGTAGTTTCAGTTTTAGTTTCTGGTTTGATTGGTGCATTTAGTGGTGGGAGACTCCTTGGACACTTAAGACACTTAACCTGTTTTCTGTAAATAGACAAGGAAAGAGTTTCTTAACATTTACAGGCTAGCGTCAATTTTTGTGGTTTCGATCATCTGCAAAAAATTCAGTTTCAGTTGCTTGTTCGATTGATGCTTTTATGGATTGAAGACCCTCAGGAACCTCCTGCTTTGTTTTCGTTGAAAAAGGTACCAAGACAGTTATTATGGTGTCGATCATTTGCAAAATGTTTACATTTGGAACCTTATTGTTTTCGGCTCATATAGTTTGTGGCCGAAGCACAGCGAAGCAAAACAAACAGAAATTGCGGATCTAGATCTATTGTACGGGAGACTAATGGTTTGAAGATATACTGCGTTGTGTGTAAGAACGTTCTCTGTTGACGAGTGGCCTTTAAAGGAAATTTGAATGTGTAACAAAATGATTTTAGCGATGAGGCGTCACGGAAGTGAGAGTTATTCGTTACTCGCAAAGCAGCTATTTGTGTGGCCTTATCCTTATAATAAGTTGAGTTTTTTGGCGTGCATTTCCTATTAACCGTTATAGTGTTGAGGCAGTTCTTTTTATCAGTCATTTTCCCAGTAATCACATCATTATAGATGATTCTGATCGCTGGCTGGCGTCATTACATCAGTGGTTACTGAATTTTGAGGCAGCATTGTTGTTAAATTTTTTTTTTTTTAGATTTAGGAGCGGTGTTAGGTTTGGAACTTTGACGCTTGAAATTTTTATTTGTACCCTTATCTTGTAGACGTGTAGCTTTCNGGTTCCACACAAAACACTATCTGAGTTTTGTTAAAAGTGGGAAGTTTTTTCAAGCAGGAGTCGAACCAGGATTTCTTTTAAGAAAAGTTCAAAAGTTATGCTTTTTGTAGCGAATCATTTGCACCGTTTACCGCCACTACAAGTTAATTTCTGGTAAGCGCGCGACCCTTGTATGGTCGTAGTTTCAGTTTTAGTTTCTGGTTTGATTGGTGCATTTAGTGGTGGGAGACTCCTTGGACACTTAAGACACTTAACCTGTTTTCTGTAAATAGACAAGGAAAGAGTTTCTTAACATTTACAGGCTAGCGTCAATTTTTGTGGTTTCGATCATCTGCAAAAAATTCAGTTTCAGTTGCTTGTTCGATTGATGCTTTTATGGATTGAAGACCCTCAGGAACCTCCTGCTTTGTTTTCGTTGAAAAAGGTACCAAGACAGTTATTATGGTGTCGATCATTTGCAAAATGTTTACATTTGGAACCTTATTGTTTTCGGCTCATATAGTTTGTGGCCGAAGCACAGCGAAGCAAAACAAACAGAAATTGCGGATCTAGATCTATTGTACGGGAGACTAATGGTTTGAAGATATACTGCGTTGTGTGTAAGAACGTTCTCTGTTGACGAGTGGCCTTTAAAGGAAATTTGAATGTGTAACAAAATGATTTTAGCGATGAGGCGTCACGGAAGTGAGAGTTATTCGTTACTCGCAAAGCAGCTATTTGTGTGGCCTTATCCTTATAATAAGTTGAGTTTTTTGGCGTGCATTTCCTATTAACCGTTATAGTGTTGAGGCAGTTCTTTTTATCAGTCATTTTCCCAGTAATCACATCATTATAGATGATTCTGATCGCTGGCTGGCGTCATTACATCAGTGGTTACTGAATTTTGAGGCAGCATTGTTGTTAAATTTTTTTTTTTTTAGATTTAGGAGCGGTGTTAGGTTTGGAACTTTGACGCTTGAAATTTTTATTTGTACCCTTATCTTGTAGACGTGTAGCTTTCGTGACGAAGAAAAATATTTTTTGGTTCCGTTTTTAAGTCTCTTTTAGCTTATGTTTATTGTTATGTTCATTTTGTGCAAAAATGGAAAATACAGTGTTTGGTTTGAAGTAAAATGCTCTCTAGACTATTATGTTCTACATATTAAACAGCGTAGAAAGTGTTAATATTTTCACCACGAGTGTGCAACGGAAATGCGTTTCAGTTTTTTTTCATCGTCAAAGCCTTGCTTATTTTTCTGCCCCTGGTTTTCCAAACGTTTGCCAGTGCTTTCTACCAGACAAATCACTATCCAACGGATAAATATTCGGGGAAACAATTACGTTATGCACTAGAGAGATCTTTTTCCAGAGGATAACGCTTGAACGCTAGGGCCCAAAGTGATCATTGAATTCATTAAATTAATCCCACAACCTTGGGCGTTGTTTTTACAGTACTAGGAGTCTTTAGGATATATTCTTGATTAGAACCCCAACCAGTTCCTGACCGCGCCCAAAAAGGGTTACTTAACTTAAGTGGCATACGAGACAGTTGAGGTTTTGCAAGATAAGGACCTCGAGTATTAGGCTCAATTTCCGCGGCTCTCTCGGTCCTCCCCGAGAAGAGACGGCTGGACGCTTGAGTGGCCTATCGTATCTGTGACGTAAATTCAAAATTTTAATTTATGCGTCGTTACAAAGCATCGGAAATGGGAAATGTCATTAAATACCGAGCAAATGTTGTACTTTGCCTCGTCATCGCATTTGTATTTGCCATAAAAATCAGCAGAAACACCTACGGATTGTATTTGCATCGATCTTGCATTACCGATGGACTTCACAGTCGTCTCTTTAACGTTAGCTGTCAACAACCATGGTTGCGGTTGGTTGAACTGGAAAATCATACCTACCATTTGCCAGTTTCTCCAAGCTAATACTTTTCTTTAGAAATGTTTTTAAGTTTTTAAGCTTTAAACGCCCTAACACGCGATTGCACGCCACATCAAACAACACCCTTGCATCCGCTGTTTTAAATCTGCTCCAGGAAAACAAACTTATGCTGCCTGCTCGATTTGAGCTGGTAACGATCTGATTGGTGGAAATTGACAATAGCAAACTCATGCGTCCGGTTGCTGGTCGGGAACAAGCGTGGGCTTATTTCACGAACAGCGGCTGGTAATCTAGCAACCTCGTCCCCAGGGCTTTTCCCTTAAAAAATGGGTGGGACGGGAAAAGGCCCTGGCATCGGCTGGTCAAGTGTCCCCTCGTACACCCCAAAATCCTGGGTATAATAAATTAGCGCTATGGGAAAAGCTAAAATTATGCGTGATCTCACACCGCGCGATCTTGGGCGGCCTTTTATATCTCTTGATGATTAACGAAAGGTTTTACAAGATTTCCTTTTCGTCACAGATACTGGCCACGGTAATTTTTTGCTTTCCTTCGATTTCTATGAAGGGGGCAGCGAGTAACATTTGTAAAACCTCTGTTTATAGAGCGGTATAAATGACAAACAAGCTATTTGTACTTATCCTCGGAAGAGAGAAGATATCAGAGGTCTTCAAATGTTTCATAAACGTGACCTGTTATCGTTCCTGGCTGGAGGGGTGACTTGCATCCGGTGCGGAGATTTGTTTGTTTCATGGTCGGGTTGTAGAGAAGATCAGACTCCATAAAGCATTTTGACGAACAATTCTATTTCAATCAAGTTGAATCCTGGAGGCAAAGGCCCGTATTTTTGTTTGACATTGGACAAAATCACTTTCCGCTTGATCGTACAGTAATTACACAGTCACGTTGAAGTTCAGTCAAAGTACTAGTCGATAAACAGCTTGTCTGAACTCTGAAGCATCTGATATATTTTGTACGTGATAACGTAGAGCCGGTACGCCTTTTCATAAACTTGCAGCATTTGAATAATGCGCAATTAAATGGATCTTAAGCTTTTGAATCGCACACACGCGAAAATATTGACATAGTTCGCGATGTTAGTATTTTCCATTGTTTTCGACTTCTGTCAGCGCAAAACCAGCGGGTTGCATATAAATTAGCTTTTCAGGAATATTTAGGCTGTCACGTGACCAGCCGATGCCAGGGCCTTTTCCCACCCCACCCATTTTTTAAGGGAAAAGCCCTGGGGACGAGGTTGGTAATCTAGCCTCCCACGCAGGCGTTTTTAGGAGCTCGTTTTTCATCCCTCCCCACAAACGCCTGCTCAAGCGAAGACAACATTCCTTTCCCAAGCTTAGCCAATCACATTGTGCTTTCCAAATTCTGGAAAGTTTACCTTGACCGCAAGGTAATCTCGACTGATAATTACTCGATCTGCATTAAACACGGGGAAAGCTTTCTGACCTCTAATAAATGTTAGATTCAGAGCGGCAAAAATAAGATTTAGTCAAAATTTAGAATACTCCATGCACTGTATAACCTTATATAGCGAAGGAAAGAAAAGAAGGAAAACAGTAACTCTAGGGTCACGTTCAGTCGTGTTTATACTGTCAACACTTTATTGCACAATTGTTGATTGGTCACTTACCGCGCAAATAAAACAATGGGAAAGGAACGTTGTTTTCGGTTGAGCAGGCGTTTGTGGGGAGGGATGAAAAACGAGCACCCCTAAAAACGCCTGCGTGGGAGGCTACTGGTAATCTAGCCTACTCCCGTATACGACTTGCAGAAACTCCATACTGATGACGTCAGGCCACCTAATACTACTGGTCATGAAGCGTGGGAAATTTGCTTGAACCACGCAAAGAGATGCACTACTTAGGTCTGGGTACTGATGCGTCGTCTGCGGTCTTTCCTTAAACGTCTTTTCGCAGGGAAGCCAGTGGTGGCGTCACGAAATGTCGCGTTTTCTCAGTCTAGAATCAGTCTGTCTCAGTCTGCTGGAGAGCAAGGGACGTACTGGGACAACACAAACAAAGAACTGATATCATTTAAAATTGCAATTTTCTTTGTTTTTGTTGTCCCAGTACATCTCCTGTTCTCCAATATGGCAATTTTGTACCACGTGAACTGCTAGCTGTAAACAGCCTGTTCATGGGACAAATTTCAGCTAAAATTTGCTGTTGTGAGGCTTTTTCAAGTCGAATGTGGCCAACCCCTCCCTTCACCCCACAAGCGACGTTAAAGGCGATTTACGACAACCAGAAATTACAGGAATCACGAAATTCAATATTGCATCGCTTTCCCCAGGCCTTTTGTCCAGGATTGTAGTTCTCAACACCCCGCGAGCAGAGCCTCATTGGCTGAGGAGGAGAAAAGGAAGCTCTGCCTGAATGAGGTTTGAGGTCGCCGCAGCCCCAACTTCTGGACTAAACAATCTTCATTCTTGTTTTGTCTCGTCAAACTAGTTTTTTTCGAATGTGAGCATCCATTTATATTTAAACCAATCGTCATAACCCAGCCGGCTGAAGCAAGCGCACGACTAAAGGCCTGGGTTAGAAACTATATCTCAGCAACGTGCCGCGCATGCTCAACAAAGCTCTTCCTCGATTCATGCAGAATCTTTCACAAGTACGCCAAAATCGAGCAAGCGAAAGAAATGCTCTGCTGGCCGGATGATTCTCAACAGAAGAAAGGTGAATTAAACGAAGATTCGACAGTAATATTTATTTTTATTTGTGGGTCAAATCGCGGTAATCCTTGAGTAGGTCTTTAAGGAACAGCAGAGAACTAAGCGAGCGAAAATTGTTCCTGTCGTATAATATTCTCACTGCATACCTATTGTCCCGACACGGGGAACTAAGTTATGGGAGGAAACAGCGACTGCCAGGACAAGAGTAGAGTAGTGAGAGTATGCGAGATCAACCGCCACCAGGGGAGGTGGGAGGGGCGAAACTTTGAAGTCACTTCATTTAACTCCATTGAACTGGCCAAGAGGCGGGCAGAAATCGGACGATTCTAACCAAGGGCAGCAATGCATTATCCCACCCGCGCGCAGGCCCAACGCGACGGAAATTTAAGGAGTTACTCATTTCCCACGTCACGGACCAATTGTGTATGCAGTGAGAATATTATATTGAGTTGCACTGGGAGTAACAATGAACCATCAGTGACTCGTATTAACTCTATGTGATAGTATATGTGATCTATTTCAAATTTACACATTATTCCTCATACCTAGAACAGCTTGAGGTAGACTGACTTATCATTGAGGATTATATTTGAATCACAGTTGTTTTGTGGCGCTGTGGTTTCTCTTCTTTCGTGGCGCAGCGTCCGACCTGGAGAAACCACTGCTCGCATGGTACTCAATTGTCTGATATTTAATAAAGGTTTTTTTTGAGGAACGAAGAAAAGCCCCAAATTGATTGTACTCGGAAATTGCCCTCAAATTCAAAATAAAACGAAGCAAAAACTGTACAGTAACACATTAATGTTTCCATTTGCCAACGAAATACAGTTACGGGCACCTCTCTATTACGGACAGTTCGTTTGGTGCCAGAAATACCAAAAATCATACATTCCCTACCTCTATAATACGGACACCTCTGTAAAGCGGACACTTGGTTCTGTCCCTTTGGTGCCCGTATTAGAGAGGTTTGACTGTATTACGTGTGCCAAATGATTGTAGTCAGAAGGTTTCACAGTATTTTGCTGTTTTCGCAGTTCAGTATTCAGTCTTGGCTTTGATTTCCTCGGTACATGTAGACAAAGTACTTGCATGGTTGAGTTTTAGAAAGATCTACGTCCTCAAAACGAGTTTCAGTAAAAACGTGCCACAAATTAACGACAAAAATTACCCTTCCAACTATAAGCTAGCCCAATGGGTTTTGAGACACACATTTCCCTCCCAGTATAAACGTAGGCGATTTTGAAACGTAAATTTCGTTCTACGAATATAAGCCCTTCCAAAAATAAGCCCCTCAAAAATGGCCTTTGAAAAATATAAGCCCTGGGGATTATTTTTGAAATTTTACGGTATTTTCCAAAATGTAAAATACGTTTATTGCAAAACCTAGCGTAGGTGTAAAGGGCCAACAGTGTGAATTAAGAGAAATAAGCCGATAGCAAAAAAAATATATGAAAAAAATCAAACAATGTATTTAAATGGGTGGTTCGATTGGGTTTCTTTAATATATATTTGTAGCCTCCAAACCTCTGTTTGAAACTAAACCATGGAAGCGCGGTACGAAATTGATTTATTTTATTTATTTATTTTATTAGCTTTTTTTTTAAGCTTTAAACGCCCTAACACGCGATTGCACGCCACATCAAACAACACCCTTGCATCCGCTGTTTTAAATCTGCTCCAGGAAAACAAACTTATGCTGCCTGCTCGATTTGAGCTGGTAACGATCTGATTGGTGGAAATTGACAATAGCAAACTCATGCGTCCGGTTGCTGGTCGGGAACAAGCGTGGGCTTATTTCACGAACAGCGGCTGGTAATCTAGCAACCTCGTCCCCAGGGCTTTTCCCTTAAAAAATGGGTGGGACGGGAAAAGGCCCTGGCATCGGCTGGTCAAGTGTCCCCTCGTACACCCCAAAATCCTGGGTATAATAAATTAGCGCTATGGGAAAAGCTAAAATTATGCGTGATCTCACACCGCGCGATCTTGGGCGGCCTTTTATATCTCTTGATGATTAACGAAAGGTTTTACAAGATTTCCTTTTCGTCACAGATACTGGCCACGGTAATTTTTTGCTTTCCTTCGATTTCTATGAAGGGGGCAGCGAGTAACATTTGTAAAACCTCTGTTTATAGAGCGGTATAAATGACAAACAAGCTATTTGTACTTATCCTCGGAAGAGAGAAGATATCAGAGGTCTTCAAATGTTTCATAAACGCGACCTGTTATCGTTCCTGGCTGGAGGGGTGACTTGCATCCGGTGCGGAGATTTGTTTGTTTCATGGTCGGGTTGTAGAGAAGATCAGACTCCATAAAGCATTTTGACGAACAATTCTATTTCAATCAAGTTGAATCCTGGAGGCAAAGGCCCGTATTTTTGTTTGACATTGGACAAAATCACTTTCCGCTTGATCGTACAGTAATTACACAGTCACGTTGAAGTTCAGTCAAAGTACTAGTCGATAAACAGCTTGTCTGAACTCTGAAGCATCTGATATATTTTGTACGTGATAACGTAGAGCCGGTACGCCTTTTCATAAACTTGCAGCATTTGAATAATGCGCAATTAAATGGATCTTAAGCTTTTGAATCGCACACACGCGAAAATATTGACATAGTTCGCGATGTTAGTATTTTCCATTGTTTTCGACTTCTGTCAGCGCAAAACCAGCGGGTTGCATATAAATTAGCTTTTCAGGAATATTTAGGCTGTCACGTGACCAGCCGATGCCAGGGCCTTTTCCCACCCCACCCATTTTTTAAGGGAAAAGCCCTGGGGACGAGGTTGGTAATCTAGCCTCCCACGCAGGCGTTTTTAGGAGCTCGTTTTTCATCCCTCCCCACAAACGCCTGCTCAAGCGAAGACAACATTCCTTTCCCAAGCTTAGCCAATCACATTGTGCTTTCCAAATTCTGGAAAGTTTACCTTGACCGCAAGGTAATCTCGACTGATAATTACTCGATCTGCATTAAACACGGGGAAAGCTTTCTGACCTCTAATAAATGTTAGATTCAGAGCGGCAAAAATAAGATTTAGTCAAAATTTAGAATACTCCATGCACTGTATAACCTTATATAGCGAAGGAAAGAAAAGAAGGAAAACGGTAACTCTAGGGTCACGTTCAGTCGTGTTTATACTGTCAACACTTTATTGCACAATTGTTGATTGGTCACTTACCGCGCAAATAAAACAATGGGAAAGGAACGTTGTTTTCGGTTGAGCAGGCGTTTGTGGGGAAAGAAAAACGAGCTCCCCTAAAAACGCCTGCGTGGGAGGCTACTGGTAATCTAGCCTACTCCCGTATACGACTTGCAGAAACTCCATACTGATGACGTCAGGCCACCTAATACTACTGGTCATGAAGCGTGGGAAATTTGCTTGAACCACGCAAAGAGATGCACTACTTAGGTCTGGGTACTGATGCGTCGTCTGCGGTCTTTCCTTAAACGTCTTTTCGCAGGGAAGCCAGTGGTGGCGTCACGAAATGTCGCGTTTTCTCAGTCTAGAATCAGTCTGTCTCAGTCTGCTGGAGAGCAAGGGACGTACTGGGACAACACAAACAAAGAACTGATATCATTTAAAATTGCAATTTTCTTTGTTTTTGTTGTCCCAGTACATCTCCTGTTCTCCAATATGGCAATTTTGTACCACGTGAACTGCTAGCTGTAAACAGCCTGTTCATGGGACAAATTTCAGCTAAAATTTGCTGTTGTGAGGCTTTTTCAAGTCGAATGTGGCCAACCCCTCCCTTCACCCCACAAGCGACGTTAAAGGCGATTTACGACAACCAGAAATTACAGGAATCACGAAATTCAATATTGCATCGCTTTCCTCAGGCCTTTTGTCCAGGATTGTAGTTCTCAACACCCCGCGAGCAGAGCCTCATTGGCTGAGGAGGAGAAAAGGAAGCTCTGCCTGAATGAGGTTTGAGGTCGCCGCAGCCCCAACTTCTGGACTAAACAATCTTCATTCTTGTTTTGTCTCGTCAAACTAGTTTTTTTCGAATGTGAGCATCCATTTATATTTAAACCAATCGTCATAACCCAGCCGGCTGAAGCAAGCGCACGACTAAAGGCCTGGGTTAGAAACTATATCTCAGCAACGTGCCGCGCATGCTCAACAAAGCTCTTCCTCGATTCATGCAGAATCTTTCACAAGTACGCCAAAATCGAGCAAGCGAAAGAAATGCTCTGCTGGCCGGATGATTCTCAACAGAAGAAAGGTGAATTAAACGAAGATTCGACAGTAATATTTATTTTTATTTGTGGGTCAAATCGCGGTAATCCTTGAGTAGGTCTTTAAGGAACAGCAGAGAACTAAGCGAGCGAAAATTGTTCCTGTCGTATAATATTCTCACTGCATACCTATTGTCCCGACACGGGGAACTAAGTTATGGGAGGAAACAGCGACTGCCAGGACAAGAGTAGAGTAGTGAGAGTATGCGAGATCAACCGCCACCAGGGGAGGTGGGAGGGGCGAAACTTTGAAGTCACTTCATTTAACTCCATTGAACTGGCCAAGAGGCGGGCAGAAATCGGACGATTCTAACCAAGGGCAGCAATGCATTATCCCACCCGCGCGCAGGCCCAACGCGACGGAAATTTAAGGAGTTACTCATTTCCCACGTCACGGACCAATTGTGTATGCAGTGAGAATATTATATTGAGTTGCACTGGGAGTAACAATGAACCATCAGTGACTCGTATTAACTCTATGTGATAGTATATGTGATCTATTTCAAATTTACACATTATTCCTCATACCTAGAACAGCTTGAGGTAGACTGACTTATCATTGAGGATTATATTTGAATCACAGTTGTTTTGTGGCGCTGTGGTTTCTCTTCTTTCGTGGCGCAGCGTCCGACCTGGAGAAACCACTGCTCGCATGGTACTCAATTGTCTGATATTTAATAAAGGTTTTTTTTGAGGAACGAAGAAAAGCCCCAAATTGATTGTACTCGGAAATTGCCCTCAAATTCAAAATAAAACGAAGCAAAAACTGTACAGTAACACATTAATGTTTCCATTTGCCAACGAAATACAGTTACGGGCACCTCTCTATTACGGACAGTTCGTTTGGTGCCAGAAATACCAAAAATCATACATTCCCTACCTCTATAATACGGACACCTCTGTAAAGCGGACACTTGGTTCTGTCCCTTTGGTGCCCGTATTAGAGAGGTTTGACTGTATTACGTGTGCCAAATGATTGTAGTCAGAAGGTTTCACAGTATTTTGCTGTTTGCGCAGTTCAGTATTCAGTCTTGGCTTTGATTTCCTCGGTACATGTAGACAAAGTACTTGCATGGTTGAGTTTTAGAAAGATCTGCGTCCTCAAAACGAGTTTCAGTAAAAACGTGCCACAAATTAACGACAAAAATTACCCTTCCAACTATAAGCTAGCCCAATGGATTTTGAGACACACATTTCCCTCCCAGTATAAACGTAGGCGATTTTGAAACGTAAATTTCGCTCTACGAATATAAGCCCTTCCAAAAACAAGCCCCTCAAAAATGGCCTTTGAAAAATATAAGCCCTGGGGATTATTTTTGAAATTTTACGGTATTTTCCAAGTAAAATACGTTTATTGAAAAACCTAGCGTAGGTGTAAAGGGCCAACAGTGTGAATTAAGAGAAATAAGCCGATAGCAAAAAAATATATGAAAAAAATCAAACAATGTATTTAAATGTGTGGTTCGATTGGGTTTCTTTAATATATATTTGTAGCCTCCAAACCTCTGTTTGAAACTAAACCATGGAAGCGCGGTACGAAATTGATTTATTTTATTTATTTATTTTATTAGCTTTACCAGCATAATATAAATACAAATACATAAGGGTAATCAAACAAAATAACAAAGAAAAAGTGGCAAGGATTCCGCAACAGCCTGAGCCAATTAGTGCGGGCCCAGATAATTAAAATAATAGAATATTTAAAATACAGTGAAACCTCTATTAAGCGGACACCTTCGGGACCTTCCCAAGTGTCCGCTTAATAGTGTTTGTAAAAATTGCGCAATGTTTTTAACGATCAACATTCAACGGTTACTCTGTACTGCAACCTCGTCCCCAGGGCTTTTCCCTCAAGCAGCACTTGGAAAAGCAGTATTATCCACTCTATCTTACAGTCCTATTTAGTCGTACTTATATCTACCATTGTCTTTAAAATCAGGGGTAACCAGAGGACAATGACCACAAGCACATAATGTTTTTCAAACGCCACCTTATTCGTATTTTATTTGTACGATCAATCACAGCGGTGTTGTATCAATAGATCTCTTTCTTATGCATTATTCATCACACGAGATGTCCCACAGGGCTCTATTTTGGGTCCCTTCCTTTTCTTGTTGTACATTAATGATCTTCCACTTGGTATATCAGAAAGCTTGCAATGTAGACATTTGTGCTGATGACACTACATTATGGAAGACTAGTATTGATCCTACAAGTATACAGCATGGCCTTCAAAGTAGTCTCATTAAAGCAGATCACTGGTTCTCCCGCCGAAACAAGATGATGCCAAATGCAAAGAAAACAAAACAGTTACTTCTTGAAACTAAGCAAAAGATTTCTAATTGTGCAAATCCGGTCCTGAATCTTTTTTTTTTTTTTGCGAGGAACCAAAATTAAACAAGCTGCCAATGAAAAGATTCTTGGGGTGATTCTAGACAAGCATTTTTTGACTGGATTACTCATATCGATTATATGATCACCAAATTAAAATACATGCCTCTTCCGCTTAGGAAATTATTATACAATGCTTTGATTAAGTCAATATTAGAATATTGCTGCTCTGTGTGGGGAAACACTACGAATGATAATTCAGTTAAGCTCCTCAGAATTCAAAAGCGTTGTGCAAGACTAATTTTGTACACAAACGTTTATGCCAGCTCAGTTAACGTTTTTAACAAGCAGCTGGGCTGGATCCCCATTGATGATATCATAGTCTTTAGGAAACTTTGTATTATGTTCAATATCATTAATGGTAAATGTCCTGATTATTTCGATCATTAATACCAGGCATAATTATGACATTAGAGCGTCAACTAATGTAGAACTATCTTTCCCTTTTTTAATACCAAGACTGGTCAACGTGCATTTCTTGCAAACGGCCCCAGACTTTGGAATGATGTAGCTAGAAACATTTGGGGTCTAAGTACCATGGCCAAATTTAAAAATGAATTATATAAACATTTTTCAGACTGTAATTTTGAAAATGACCATTTTATTGTTAGCAGAAGTTTTTAACCTTTAATGTTTTTAAAATTCCAGTCTTATTAAGTTTCATATCAATACATATTTATAGTCTTTATAAGTTTGCAATGAACCTGTAATTTAGTCATGCATCTGAGATGCAGTAAACCAGTGATGCTTGATTTTTTAATACCTAGTTGAAAGTCAATTTAATTTGCTCAGGATAGATTTACCAGCTAAGTTTTTTTGTTTTATTCCAGGCATTGTAGTGACTGCTTATTCTCCGCTTGGATCTCCTGATAGACCGTTTGTCGACAAAGACGCGCCTGTTGTGTTAGATAATCCTCTGTTGCAGAAAATCGCTGATAAACACAAAATTACGATCGCTTTGGTGAGCTGTACAGTATTTATATCTTTTATAAACTGCTCTCAGCCTAGCTCTATTCGGTTCTCGTATTACGCTAACTGACGCGAGTGTTAAAGTGGAGCGCGATCAACTGACAGCTGAACTGAGAGGCGCCTAACGTCACGTATTAGGAACTTTTACGATTTGACGACGCGATATCAGTGAAAAAGTCGCTTAAAAGGTGAATTTACGTTCTTCCAGTTTTTATCGCGATTATTTCTACCCATTTACTTTATTAAAAGTAGGAGTACCCTCTGGAGTTGAATCATAGGATCCTATCCAAGCTCAGAAAGAGAAATAAAATTTCGTCGTCGCTTGTTCACGTCCTCCATTTAATGTAAAATTGGGCAATTTCACATCGCAGTCGTTCAAAAACGGCAAAGAAATGTACAAAAAAGTGTGATGCA